CAATGTTCCAGCCAATCAACTTGGTCGCGGTTCAATTGACTAATGGACAGCGGCAAGTACACAAAGACGGTAGGCATACTGCGTGGTTCTTTCCAGTATATTTGTCGGTAAGTAAGTGTTTTAGGTTGGTTGTGTATTGCAGAAGACATATTTTCAGAAAACTTTGGCTGACTGAACTTTACACACTAAACATGCAGACTTTGATACTAAATCAAAAAACTCAACCTCTGAACCATGAAAATATGGTCAAATCATATTTTGGACATGACAGATATACTGGGGTGCTTGATGCATGTGAGAAGGTAATATGAATGTCCATCCCATTGAAGCGAGTAGATTTAATATGGACGTCGGTAATATGAATGTCGATCCCATTTACTTGAATGTCAATGTAAATATGAAAGTGCGTACATGTTCGCATGCCCTCTAAACAATGTCTTCGCTTGTGTTTATGTTTATGTGTAGATTTACATGCCTTTCAATTATCGAGGAGTACATTGGGTGTGCCTAAAAATAGATATGGTAGACCGTGTGGCGTACCTATTTGACTCATTGGCATCCGCCACACTGGACACCAACAAGCTGAACACAGCAAAAATGTTGGTATGTCGTGCTGAATTTCACAAATCTACTTCCACACTGTCACATTCTTCACATAAACTAACCGTCTCATTCTGCAACAGGTTCAAACAATGCATGCCTTACTGCAACTACAGTTTGGAAATGAATATGCTGTAGACGCGCGTACCTTTGATGTCCGCATGTTAGAAAAAAGGCCATTACAACAGCTGGACGAGTAATCCACAAACCCTGCATCACGTTAACTTCACTCCTGAATCACTCATTTGACGAACCTGCTTATATTTACGAGAAACTGAATGTTACATTTCATTTGCAGCACTTTCGACTGTGGGATGTTTGTGATCAAGTATATGCAGTGGCCTGATATATCCAGCGGTCCACACAAGGTACATTCTACCGCTTCATTTCCAATTGCGAAATAAATCCGTTTATTTCCTACCGCTGTAACTATACCTGATTTGTGTTATTCGCTTTCTCTACATAGTTTCATCCTTCTGTGCATCGGAAGTTGGTGCTTGACTTCGTTATGGATGTGAATAATTCAAAGATGGGCGAGTATCCTTTGTGCATGTGATTGATTGCAATTACAACAAATAGGGCAGCGATTTTATCATGGCCTGCCAGTACGACGGTAATTTCCATGCCCAACCACAACTAGATTACTGTATCAGCTTGTCGGGATAACTTTTTAGGTCGCAGCTGTGATAATACTAATTTCCCACGCGTATTGATTGTACACATAATTCCAATGTTAGGGACTGGAACAAACGAGGGAAAGTAGTAATGTTTATTTGCTTTTATCGTGGCCTGTACGTAATGTGATACACATAATTCCAATGTTATGGGTACAGAACAAACAATGCAATGTGATATTTGCCCAAATGAATATAGTAATGTTTGTCCAATGGAATGTGATATGTGTCTAACAAACAATGCAAGTTGAAAGTAGTAATGTTTGTTCACTTTTACCACATGAATTATGTTTGTTCGATTTTTTTGAATGCCATAATTTTGTCCAAAACAAAGCAAAAAAATCCCATAGAACAAACAAATAGCAATGACTATAATGCACCAACAAGGGTCCACCTGTCCACAGGAATTCACGTGGTAAACAAACTGCTGTAATTCTCCTGTCGACCCACCTTACTATTATGTTTCCAACTGTCCCTGCACATTGTGGACTTCACATCTTCAGGTCAAGCTCTGTATTCTGCCAATGACCGTTTCTGCAATCCACCCAGTTAGTCCATGCAATATCCTCGTAACTGTTGCACCACGTGGGCCCTCACGTGTAGTTAAACTAAACCCCTTTCATATGTGTAACTGATGGACTCTGACGTTGACTTTCGCACATGTCATGTTGTGGTTGATCCACGTGTGAACAGGCACAAACAAGTACAAATTTTAAACTGCAAACGTGCCACAAATTTTAAACTGCAAACAATGTCATGTTGCATACTGCCTGGTTGTTTCCAGTATATCGGTCGGTAAGTAAGTGTTTTATGTCAGTTGTGTATTGTAGATGACATATTTTCAGAAATATTTGGCTGACTGACTTTACACACTAAACATGCAGACTTTGATACTAAATCAAAACTACTAAACATCTGTACATGACAGACATACTGGTGTGAAGAAGTATGACATCCTTTACATAAACGAATCCTTGGAAGGGCAACCACATAGGAGATATATAAACAGAAGATATGTGAAGAAGTATTATCCAACCATGTGGGAAACTTTGAAGGGGAGTTGATTAATTCATAACAATGCACAAATGGAGAAAAATTGCACAAAAAATAAAAAAAAACCATACAATAGACCATTAAAAAAAGAGTATTGATATTCATTTTTTTTTGATCGCCAAAAGAAAAAACTTTATTCATGAAAAAGCACATACAAGGTGTGAATGATACATCAATAAATAGGAGCTTGGAGCTAAAAAAGGTCCAACCTCCTAGTTGGGAGAGACCAACGAAGAGAAACAAAACCAGAAGGAAAACAATAAGAATGTAACTCCAAGGCCATCCTCACAAAAATGCATAACAGGGCAACCAGATGAAACTCCAAAGCAGCATGAACAAACTTCAGACCATACATGCATTGCAGCCCTATAACTCAAGCTACACAACCCAGATCCTGCACTTCTGCACTAAATGGATATAACCAAACCAGGAAATCACCTAAAAACATGCTGCTGCATCACACCACCAAGTATCACCCCATTTGAGTCCGAATTCACACAGATCACAACAGACACCAGCTAGGAGCCTGATCCATTAGACCTGATCTAAACCTCACAGCAGTAGCCACCATTCAGACTTGAGCCTGATCCTTCAACCTCCAAAGCTAAAAAATAACTACAGCAGCAGACCAACAATTACAACAAGGCCAGTACTAGACCTCCAATAACTTTCCCCAATACAGTAGCAGATCTCCAATACAGCACACCAAAACATCATTCCAACTATTGCAAAAAGGCCAATATGCAGCAGCAGACTTAAGCCTATTCGTTGATCCCATATAGCAACAACAGAGTACATATATAGCAGAGTAGAGGTGAAGCATAGCAGAGCAGCAACCAGAAATGAGCATGCTTGACCCCATAAACTAAGGTAGAGCAACAACCCAAAAATAAGGCAAAACATAGCAAAATTGAAGCACAACAGAGCAAAATTAGCCACCAAGAAGATCTGCTAATGCGAGGTATACACCCACTTCCCTTTGCTTCCATCAGCATACCACAGATTGACCAAAATCCTGCACCCTTGGAGCAAAAAACACCAAACACCACCCCCTCAATCAGACTTTGATCCTATCCAGATTATTGACAATGTCCTCCACCGAATACTGTAGGCCTCTATAACTTTGCTTACACCAAAGTGCAACCTTTACTTTCACCATCTCAGCCAATTCAGGCCCATCAATAATCTTATCATTAAAAAGGCAATCATTCCTAGCTTTCCAAATCATTCCTAGTTGTGCAATACAAAAGAATACATATATAAACTAGCCTAGGATTTGGGGAAGAGAATGGCTAGAACACCCCTTTCTGATTGAGCATCTACCAGCATGGGTTGGGCTTGGTCCAACTCAGCTTTAGTTGTCTGAATTGATGCAGAACGATGTCTAATTTAGGAGAGCATCATCCTTGCTTCTTGATTAAGCTGGTCATGTTGCTACTGCAGATGAGCCTTTCTTTGCCGAACAGAGGCAAGTTTTGCCATGAGTTTGGTTTCCTCAAGTTCAAGTGCTGAGTGTTGCTCAAGAATGGCTACAAAGGTTTACTGGCTGAGTTTGAGTGAAGTAGATATGGTGTGGGCTTCATTTAGGAAATCTTTTCTCCTTTCTGATTGAGCATCTGCCAGCATGGCTTGGGCTTGGTCCAACTCAGCTTTAGTTGTCTGAATTGATGCAGAACGATGTCTAATTTAGGAGAGCATCATCCTTGCTTCTTGATTAAGCTGGTCGTGTTGCTGCTGCAGATGAGCCTTTCTTTGCCAGACAGAGGCAAGTTCTGCCATGAGTTTGGCTTCCTCAAGTTCAAGTGCTGAGTGTTGCTGAAGAATGGCTGCAGAGGTCTGCTGGCTGAGTTTGAGTGAAGTAGATATGGTGTGGGCTTCGTTTAGGAAATCCTTATTGGTTTGAATATCCTTCGAGCAAGTCTGAACCATCTCTGAAAGGGTTGGCCATTCTGTGATGATCTTGGCCAATTGCTTTAGTTGACTGGGGTTGAAAGGTTTAGGGGAGAGGTTTAGAACAGCAAAAAGACAGGCCAAGGTTTCATCAGGTTTGTAGATAATGATTTCTTCAACTGGGGTGTTAATGAGGTTGATGAAGGTGGTTAAGGTTTGTTGAGTTTTAGCATGAAAGAGATGTAGCCTTTGAGGCAATAGGGATATTTCGTCTGGATGTTGTTGAAGAATAGAAAATTCGGCCCAAATATCCTGACATGGAACGATGGCCTGTGAACATTAATAGTTTGGTGAGAATATATGTTTGCAAGTAATAAAGATTAAATAGGATGAGGTTGGAAATGGTAGTACCTGTCTTGATAACGTGCACGCAGACAATTGGCCTTGTTCGGCTGTGGTTGTGGCAGCAGGAGGAGTTGTCTCGGGTACTGATGAAATGGCAACATCAACGCCTTCAGGCTCTTTTTCTGGTTCTGCTAACAGGGGAAAGTCATGAGGACCTTCAAGTTCTTTCTCAGACATTGGTTGTCGAGATCAGTCGCGCATTATGTCCATCCCTGTAAATTGGAGAACAATACCAGTTATTTAAAGAGAAGTTTGTTTTTTTCAAACGAACAGTCACATTTGTTTTTCTATTTACCTTGGTTGTTATGAACTTCTGGTTGAGGGGAATTTGTATTGTCATCTGTTGGAGAGGATTGGCTGTTGATTGAAATGTCAAAATCAATCCTCTGATTCTTTATTTGAAGTTTGGGAATTGGAGGGATTGGATGGTGATGGTTGAGGGCTGAAGACAGAAGGGACAATAACAGGCTCAGTGCCCCCTGGGTAATCAACCTCCATCGAGACAGCCCCAACTGTGACATCCCTGAGAGCAATAGGAGGAGGTTCTAGCTGTGAAGGATTGTGTGATGTAGATTGTGTAGGTTGCTGTGGCGAAGACTGTGAAGGAGGTTGTAAGGAAGTTTGTTGAGATGCTTCAGGTGGTGGTGGAGTTGGTTCTACAGTGGGTTCTCTGGGTACATTGGTGATGGTGATGGGACTAGGAATTGGATCAATGTGTTGAGGAGAAGTGGAAGGATGTTGTGCTGCAGATTGTGTAGATTGCTGTGGCAAAGACTGTGAAACAGGTTGTAAGGAAGCTTGTTGAGATGCTTCAGGTGGTGGTGGAGTTGGTTGTACAGTGGGTTCTCTGGGTACATTGCTGATGGGACTGGGAATTGGATGAATGTGTTGAGGAGAAGTGGAAGGATCTTCATCATCAGTAACAGTAAGGAGTAATCTCCTTCTTTTTCTCTGCACAAAAGTAAGTGATCAGTCGGGCGTGAATGAAAATTGAGATGATGTAAATATGTGAAGTGAAGGTATACTTGGTAGAGTTGCCCTGAAGGATTTGATGTTGTTTGGCCAACCATTTGGCTGCGAGGGATATCCCAATCACTTAGGTCTGTATTTAGAGCAGGAGCAGTGGAAGGCACTTTTCTCTTCTTTGCCGTGACCTCTGTCTCGGCAGGGGTACGGGTGGTAGTTCCTCTTTGTGCTTGTCTCTGCGAGGCTGCGAAAGAGTCTGCCATCAATTTCGGAACTGAGGGGGTGTTTGTCTGAGTAGTTGGATCCATTGGAGCCTTGCCTTTATGTTGGTCCCTAACCAATGGTTCAGCAACAGGCACAATTTTGGCTGTCAAGGGTTAAACAAGTTAGTGTTGTAGAGAAAAAAAACAAAAATGCATGACACAGTCAGGGATATGAAGTATATGAAGGAAGGATACCTGTAGCCTTAAGCTTGGAAGACGAGGATATGGGGCCTTGATTATGAAGACAAGTATTGTGAAGGCAGGTTTCAAGTGGCTTGCAGAAAATAATGGCAGTCATAAGTCCCCACCATGGTCAAAAGCAATGAAGCAGTCCGAAGCAGGTTTGAAGAAGAAGGGGCCAAAATCTTGGAAAATTTTGGTGTTCTTTGTCAGAATGGATTCAGTAGACGTGAGAATGTGTCTCCAAGTCTCATTTTGTTCTTGGACTTGGTCATTGTGTAAATCAGAAGGGTTTGTGAAGAGGAAGCAAAGTCTACTGGAGGAGAATTCAAAGTTTTGAAATGGCATGTACAAGTTGGAAGGTCTCTTCGAAGGAAGGTTGTAAAACATGGTAAGATGATTTCTGAAAGTGATGATGGGTTGGCTGTTATAAGTGAGCAATTGCTTAGTATACGAGTGGAAAATTGGTTTCAAGGTGTTAGTTGGTCAGGGTCGTGCCTCAGCGAAATAGGCATACAACCAGGCCTGGAAGAGCTAGAAGGGGCCACCACAGTTGCCAGAAATCTTCTTATCGACAAAGGAAAATAGGGCCTTGTAAAGGGTGGCAAGAAGAAAAGGGGCTAAAGCCATAAGTTGGCCATCTTGCATACACAAGGCAAGGGGGAGGTATTCCTTCGTGATCTTGTACCTAGGGACACAAAAAACAAACTCACAAAGCCAAAGTAAGTAAAAAGCAGTTCTTTCTTGGTCCTGGACAGGGGAACCAGGCTCGCCTTTGTATTTTTTGGCAAAATCTGTATAGCACATGTCAGTGTTTAAAGTAAAGGTCACTTTTGGAGGCTCAAGGAGAGAATGAATTGGATTGCCCAAGATTGGGAGACCAGTCAAGTGAGCTACATCTAAGATGGTAGGGGAAATCATACCAAAATTGAGGAGTAGGGAGTTACAAAATTACGACCAAAAGCATGCAGCAGCAGCAATCAGCCCTTTGTCCATGTCATAATTTTTAGTCGACAATCTAATTGCTTCACTAATGCCCTGGTGCTTCCATACTTCACTGTCGTGACAGCTTCGCCAAACAGAGTCTGGTGACCTCCACGATCTGAGTGGGTTTTTGCTGACATTCCAGTTAGTCCACTTAAGTCCAGGTTGGTTGAGAAGGAGGTTCTCACCATTACCAAGGGGATAGTATGGAGCTAGCTCGTCTGGGAAGTAAGACGCGAAGGTAGGGCTTAGAGTAGCCTTAGCGACAGAGCTTGTACTGGGCAATAGGGTTGCACCAAATCTTAGAGGAGCGATACGTGCTTTGATAGGGTCTGGGAAGCGGAGTAGGTCTTCATCGTTCTCCTCAGACGGAGATGGTTGAGATTTTTTCGGAGCCATGGCTTAGGGTTTTGTGGTGCTCTGGTTTTGAACGGCAATGCTTGACAAGAAGGAGTACAGTCTTAGGAGTTCGAATAAGAGGGAAATAAAGTGGTTTGAAGTTGAAAAGGTGGGTCTTTTATAGCTTATGATGGGGCCAGTATATTTAAATGCTCTCATATTGGGCAGTAGTTTATGTTTGTTTTGGGCCCGTACTAAGAAATTTGCTATTGGACTTATCTCTTGGGCTTAGGGGAATAAATCTTGGGTTAAGTAGAAATTGGGCCCAACTGGCAAGTTTGTTGAAGGTTAAATCATATGATATGATATATAACTTGAACAAGGGGGCCATTGTTTGCACCAAGTATTGCCAGTCTCTGTCGACAGATGGTCCACTTAATCGAGGGCATGTGGCCAAGTCTGAAGGAATGTCCACGACCTGAAAGTGGGCTCTCTGCATGTGGGTCACCTAGAAGTGATAGGGGAAGTTTTTACCACCAGTCACGGAGTTAGCGGGCACACTTTCAGGAGGAAGCATGAGACAAAGCA